TTAGGCGTTATGAGGGTTTAACGGATAAATTAGATGGTTAATTATGCATGTGCCCTTGGTCCTAATATTTCTCTTAAGGGTCATGAGAACAATTTGGTCATTTATGCTTAATTATTACTTAAGTTAACTTCGACGAATTTTTAGTTTTAAATTCGTGTGAAATTAGGTATAGGTTCTTTATATCGTTTCAATCAAAATTTCACGTAGAATTTAAAAGTAATTGCGTCGAGTTCATACGACTTTGAAATTTGGCCTAATTTTGTCGCAATGCATCGAAATGCGTGAGACGCATACAATCGATATTTTTTTAGTTTTACAGTGACAGAGACTATGCAGTCTTTGTAGGCTCAATGGTCCAGTGGTAGAATCCTTTTACTATTACAAGAGGGAGGCATTTGATTAACATTAATGGAGGTTGAAATGATAACTCATTCATGTTTCCTTATAAGTAGGAAGGTGGCTGCTTGAGATATACTTGCACTTCCTTCTATTATAGCTCCAAGTGATAAGGTCCAAGCGAGTTTATTCAAAATTCCATTGAAATGTGAGCCCTAAAGAAGACCAAGCTCAAAGGTAATTGTTGTGGTGGCGAGGGCCAGAGAATCATGGAAGTCTCCACCTGTGACAGGCAAAGGAGAGCAAGAAAATCAATTGTTATGTTTGATATTAATTTTAACGAAGGAAGGAATGCTAACGTGATAGGTGAGACGTTGGGCCAATTGGGCCCGCTGACAAGTTGCTTGGTGGTTACGATGCCCTGGTGGTGCTTGCGTCGTGCATCCTTCACCCTTTCTCTCCACGGTAGCCCCTTTACTGTGAAGGGGAAGTTAGTCTTTATCGCCGCTTCTCAATTTGCTCGTTGGGTAATACCCTTCTAAAGAGAACTGGAGACCTTCAGGAGTAATTCTCTTCTTCACCCTATGCCAACAAGTTTGTGGCATGATGCAACTTCGATTTTCTTGATCCTTCACCCATTGCATCTCCAGCACCTTCTATTTTCTCCGGCTCGAACTGCACACCCGTAGAGAAAGCCATAGACTAGGCAAGTGGCGAGCTATTGAGTCGCACTGACACATTTTGTAATTTTTTACTCATCTTTATTTTTATGCAAGGGCAACTGTAAGATTAAATCTTTGAAAATGAAATTTGAATAAAAAGGTTAAGTTTTATCATAATCACTTATTTTTGTTTTACTTTCCACTTTTTGTTCAAGTTTATGACTCAATTGACGTGTACAAGAGTCACTTACACAGCATGTATATGAATAGTAGGGAAATGAAAATAGCATGGCTAGGCCAACCTGTTCTCCATCTATGGAGCTTTATTGGCTAAGCTCCTCTTAAGGGGTTAGCTAGTGCTCGTCCGCATAATTATTCGTAATTTGTTTGCGTCGTGACTTTCTTTCTTCCGTGACAAGTCTGTTTGATATGGATATCTATATAAAGGCGAGTGAGAACTTATGCTTATTCTAGTTTTGTTATTGTAGTTTTGGGCATACATAAGGGGCGAACCTTGCTTGAGCGGCGACTTTCCTTCTGCTGGGGGATCTAGCTCACCTGCATATTTTGAATTCCTAGGCGTCACAGCTCACCAACAGGGAATAGTTCTTAGAGTACGATGATTCTTGAAAATATTCTCCTAAGAGTACGATGATGTAAGTGGCATATGAAAGCTAAAAAAATGATGAAGATAAAAAAGGCAAAAATAGTGTTGAATAAGCTGCGGGATATTTTTAACCTTTCAACAACAATATCAAGCATTTATCCCATTATGTGGGGGTGGCTACATGAATCCTCTTTTTCTATTATGTCCTATAATTTTTAATCATTCACAGGAGATAAATAACATAAATAAAGAAATAGCATTCACAAACACAACAACAACATCAAGCCTTTGTCCCACTACGTGGGGTCGGCTAAATGAATCTTTTTTCTCCATCGCGTCCTGTTAAAAGTCAAATTCTCATTTAAATCTAATAGAGAAAGAACATTTCTAACCAAGCCTTTTTAGGTCTACCTCTACCTTTCTTAACATAAGTCAAATCTAATACCTCTACAGCTCTACTTACTTAATAGGATCATCGAAAGGCCACCATTTTATGTGACCAAACCATCTAGGGCGACTCTCACTAATCTAATCTTCCACAGGAGCTACTCCAACCTTTTCACGTATATTCTCATTTTGTATCATATCTCGAAAGGTAAAGCCACTCATCGACCTAAGCATCCTCATCTCTACAACACTTAACTTAGTATTATGCTTCTCTTTTAATGGCCAACATTCGGCACCATAAAGCATTACAGGTCACACCACCATCTTATAGAATTTTCACTTAAGTTTGAGGGAGACTTTTCTATCACACAACAAGCCCAATGCATTCCTCCATTTCAACCATCCAACTTGAATTCTACTGATAATATCCCCATCTATTTCGCCATCACTCTGAACAATAGATCCAAGATATCTAAAACGTGTACTCTTATTAATGACTTGATCACCCAAAGTCATAATCACCTCACTAGGTCTATTACTACTAAAATTACACTACATATATTCAATTTTAGATCTTCTCAAGCGAAAACCTTTAGACTCTAAGGTTGACATCCATAATTCAAGTTTACCTTCAACTCCCTCTCTAGTCTTATCAACAAGAAGAATATCATCAACAAAAAGCATCACCAAGGTACATCCTCTTGCAAATGTCTAGTGAGAAAATTCATGACTAAAGCAAAAAGATATGGGCTTAAGACTGATCCTTGATGTAATCCAACCAAAATAGGAAAATACTTGGTTAAACCACCTTGTGTTTGAACACAATTAATAGCTCCTACATACATATGTTTAATGATTTTAATATAAGTATTATTAAATCTTTCTTTTCAAGAACGCTTCATAGCACTTCTCTAAATCAATAGACATCATATGTAGATCCTCTTTATTCTCTATATATTTTCTCCATCAAACCTCTTAATAAACGTATGGCTTCCATAGTGGACCTACCTAGCATGAATCCAAATTGATTTTGAGAAAGATTAGTATCACACCGCAACCTACGCTCCATAACTCGCTCTTATAGTTGTAAAGTATGACACATTAACTTTATTCCTCTATAATTAGCACAATCTTGTGCATCACCTTTATTCTTAAAAATAGGAATTAACACACTCATTCTTCACTCATATGGCATCCTTTGTCTTCAAAACAATATTTAAAAGTTTAGTAAGCCATGAAATTCCTTTATCTCCTAAGTATTTCCACACCTCTATTGGAATATCATCAGGTCCAACAGCTTTTCCACACTTAATTTTCTTTAAAGCCTCTCTAACTTCGGTTTTACTAATATATCAATAAAAACAAAAAAAAAATATTTTCATTTAGGGTGATAAAGTCATTAAAGTCAATCGTATTTTTACATTCTTCATTAAAAAGTTTAGCAAAATACCTCATCCACCTCTGTTGAATATCATCTTCTAAGAAAAATATTTTTTGATCTTCGTCCTTAATTTTAAAATTGCGTATTCGAGCATTGAGGCGTTTTTCATTCGTGAGGCGAGGCAAAGCCTCAAAGCGTTTTGAGGCGTAAGCCTCAAAATCAAAAGATTGCGTAAACATAAAATGACAAATATTTTTTATACTAATGAGTGAATAATATAAAACATAAAAAAGCATAAGATATGAAGTGAAATCAAAATATCTCAATAATAAGACAACATGAAGTATAGTTCAACTCAAAATTCTATCTTTCCCAAATCCCAGTATTCTTTACATTAACATATAATTTCAATTTCCAAAAATAAATAGCAATGACATATCACATAAGAACTCATAAGTCATCAGCACTGTCATCACTAAGGGGTTCTTCATTTGAATCATCATTATGGTGAACTGCTCTCTCCCCCTTCCTCCTCTCCTATAGAGTCCAATGTCGAGCATTTGCTTCAAGATTTATGTAAGTTTTAATATATATAGCGTGAGGCGTAAGCCTCATGCCAATGAGGCGAGGCGGGCCTCAACCAAGTTGAGGCGCGAGCCTCATAAAAAAATTCGAGGCGTAAGCATCGAGGCGTTTTTTATTGGAATTGCGCAAAGGCGAGCCTCATATTGCGCAATTTTAAACCATGATCCTTACTACTCATATCTCTTTGTTTGACTAACTTATACATATATCATTCTCCTCCTTAGTATCTAATTTATTATATAAATCATTAAAAGTTAAGATCTTTGTACTGCGTATTGCTTTCCTAGATTCATTATGTGTCACTTTATATTTTTTCCATTTATCAAAATTTTTGCATCTAAATCAATTTTTATAACAAATTTTCTTGTTTTTTATCTTTTCTTACACATTTGGATTCCACCACCAACTATTTTTATCATTAGAAGCTTTTCCGTTTGATACTTTAAGCACATCTTTTGCAATATTCTAATATCACTATCCACTTTTTCTCACATAACATTAGCATCCTCATGCACAGACAAAATGTTAATATCTAAAATCTTATTCTCAAAAACATTTTTGTTAATATTTTTTAAATGCCCCCATCTAATCTTAGAATATTGTTTTACTTAATTTTTTATTTCATGTCCCTTTATCTTAAAGTCCAAAACTAATAATCGATGTAGGATACATAAATTTTTACTCAAAATAACTTTAGAATCTTTGTAATCTAAACGATCTAATTTTCTTATAAGAAAATAATCAATCTGATTTTTAATATATCCATTTTTATAAGTGAGGAGATGCTCATCTCTTTTCTTAAAAAAAGCATTAGCAATTAAAAAATCACAAGCAAAAGAAAAATCTAATATGATCTTACCATCTTTATTTGTCGTTGCAAACCCATTGCCACCACAATATTTTTAAAATCATCTACCTCTCTACCTACATGTCTATTTAAATATCCTCCAATAAAAATTTTTTAAATATCATTCACAAACAAAAAATAAAAAAAAACAGCAAAATAGTTCAGAATGTAAGAAATTTGATAAACAAAGCATACCAGAGATTCTTTTGAATAATACAAAATCCGAGGCAACTCAAGTACAGTTGTAGCCAACCAATCAACAATCGCATCAACTGACAAATCTCCACTGTATCTGTAAGAAAAATGAAGGCTTTATTTGATTCAGTACAGAAGCATGCATGACAAAGATGGCCTGCAATCATGGCAGGAGCAATACTGACAAATTGACTTTTCTAGAACCCTGAGTAGTATCTTGGTTTAACTTTAGGGGGCTGTTAACAGGATCAGATCAAGCTGATCCACTCTTAGCTCAAGATTGGCTTGAACTGATCCGATTCAATCTCAAGCCTGGCCAAGTTTGGTTATAGGTTTTAGCTTGATCTGACCTTGATTCAAGCCAAGCATGTCTTATTAAGTTTGATTCAAGAAAAAAACTGATATGCTATTGATTAATCTCTGATTTCCTAACGCTTATCTTTGTCCATCAAGTATATATATAATTATAATTATGTGCCCATTTATACATATAATATATTTTTCGAAAAGATCTCAAGCTAGCTTGATCTGACAGGCTTAGCTCAATTCAAGTTCAATCAGACTCAAGCTTGTCTCAATAGTCAGCTTGCTGACTTTGATCTGAGTCATTTGATCCAAATTGAAAGCCTTAACCATGTTGGTTTTCATCACCATACTACAGTAAAAGAACAATCCCAACTGACCTTGTATAACAATCGGAATTGGCACAATTAGGGGGAAATGCAACAAGAGCAGGTAAACCTGTCAAAGACTTTGCAAGGATCAGTAATATAGAACCTATCAAAGGAACAGAAGATGAACTTAATGGCTTAGCAATATGACAGCTAAAGTTTGCAGCGGACTAAGAAATACAGCCTTGTTTTACACTTCTTCACATTTACATCTCTAATTAGAACTTGGGAACTTAATTCTGTGCAGCAAAACTCCAGAAAAACTAGTCTAATTTTGGTTAGAATAAAAACATCAACACAAAAAAAAAACAGGTCATTGCAAAACTAAGCATTTTTACTATTTCAGGACCTATTCAAGCTGAGATTGGAAAAAGAAAATGTTGCAGATTATTCCAATATTTACTGTTGTGATGGAAATTTTCAAAATCTATTGGTTGCAAATCCTGTAAATCAAGATATTTCGGTCATATATCCCTAAAAGGAGTGTAAAAATAGAACCACTTCATGCTTCTTATTTGACTGCAAAACTACAGCCCCACAACTCCCGTCCAAATTTTAAAGTTGCTCGCATCAAATTATGTAACTTAAAATTGATGTTTGAAGATACAAATCTACCAATAATGTCTTTTGATAGTTTTGTTCATGATGTTGCAGATGATTTTGGCGGACCACATGCACTTCACAGCATGTACTCTTCAGCCAATACAACAAACTCGAACAGTACATACAGCATGGTTTTACAAAACAAACATGGGATAAATTTTGAATAACATTCAAGATACTACCATTTCGGAAAATTGGTTGCTTCATAGAGTTTCGCTCAGCAAGGAAAGTTGCAAGTTGCACATGTTGAAGTTCCACCAAGCCAGAGTCTGCAACCCCGTCCAGCAAAGTAGCTATACATAAGGCATCATTGAATCAGCACTAAAAGATAGGAAGTATGAACTACAAGAATTCTAACAAAACTCTTATAACTCAATAAATTTTAGAAACCAATATTAGATTAATGAGAATAACTCATCTATAGCAAAACTTTAGCCAGCAACATCAGCGAAATTTGGTTTAAACCAAGATATTGTACTTAGAATATTCATTGTCAGATAACAATAACATAAATACCAAGCAAATATTAACGCATAATAACATTGGTTAACTATTACTTTATCTTTTGACTCTGCCCAAGTTAAAACAATATAATAAAAAATGGAATAGCAATCAATCAGGAATCTGAAATTGATTTATTCTGATTTTACAAAGAAGTAATGCGAGTAAAACACCATAATTATGCTGCTACTATACATTGGATACTATATATCTATTCAATGACTAGCATTAATTGAAAGTTCTCTCTCGTCAACGAGAGGCGTAATTAACTATAGGGGCCTGCGCTTATAGGAAACCTGAACTCAGATCATAAAGTCCTCGCAAAATGAGAGCGAAATCTTTGGGTAATGTTTTATCTAAAATCCAATCCGCCTTCTAAAAATTTACCTCAGAACTTAAACTCGTTAATACTCTCCTCAACAACACGAAAAAAAGGGGTCGCGGAGAGGTTGGGGCATGAAATGTCGGAGCCCACAATAGTTGAAAACCTTTAGTTTGTTCTCCAAAAAATATTTTATTTCTTTGGAGTAAAATTCTTTAAACCCAAAGAAAGTTCATAGCAGACATTTACCAGCTATTCAGTCATGTCAAATTATTTAGTACTCAGTTTATTATGTATAATTCATATTAATCCGGTTATCTTCAATGCATCTTTGTAGGTTTTTGTATTGATTTTTCTGAATTGTTATTGCTTGACACTAAGACTCGTTTGTGATTGTCTTAGTAGTCCTTATATAATTGGCCTTTTATATGTATTGGTCAAATATTATGAATAGTGGAACCAAATAAGTATTGGTGATGCCATGAATATTGAATGATAAAATGGTTAGTTGATTCTCTCTATTCAAATACTTAGCATGTGATTGAAACCCCATCTTCACAAATTACGGCTTCCTTCAATTAGTTCCTTTCATTGCATGAAGGATTCCGCTAGTAATTCATAGCAATTCTCTACCACTACCACGATAAAGAGAAGACTCATTTTTTTATGATTTGAAACAACGAAACTGGGTCAAAATGGATCAATCTAACCAGTGCATTAACTTTTACCCTCAAAACCAAGTCCAGCATATTATAATTTGTTCTGAAAAAACCAATTGTAATCATTTCAGAATGAATGACTATAAATCCAAATGAATAAAAGTTTAAAAATCAAATTTGTTATAGGTTTTGCATACGAGCGATAGGATCACAAAAAACCAAGGTTTAAAATTGCGTAACTGCGCCTCGAGGCGGTTTTCGTCCGTGAGGCGAGGCGTAAGCCTCGAGGCGGTCTGAGGCGTAAGCCTCACGAACACAGAATTGCGTAAATGAAAAATTAAGAATTTTAGCAGGAAAATAATACAAGGCGCGCCTCTTATTGCGCAATTTTAAACCATGCAAAAAACAAAGCTGGTAAAGCTTGTTTCACATTCTCTATGCCACCGACTCTACAAAGCCAAAACTAGAAGATGATAGCTTCCAACATATCTGGTAATACCAGAGTGTGCCCTTTGCTTTAAGGTTTTCAAGAAAGCAAATATTAGCCAGCAATAATTGCTTAGTAATCAACAGTAGTAGACCTGAATATGACAATATATTCTAACATAATAGGAGAGTGGCTTTGAAGCAAGCAATCCGCTAGTGAATGTTTATGAGTCAATAGATTAAAAATGATGTGTCGCTTTATACATTTTTATGGACTAAAAAGTAATAAGTCCTTACATGAACCATTCAAATTATTTTGTAAGAAGAAAAAATGAACATTATTGTAAAGCCAACACTCTTCATTTGTTACATACCATAGAATTAGAGCCACCATAACATTATCCACGTAAACTTACTCAGACGAGTGTCATAAAGAAATTGCAACAGATAATTTCCTGATTCAAACTTTCAGAAACTATTTAAGATTCGCAATGGATCTACGAGATAACCATTATCAACTCTTACAGATTCTAGAAAGAGGACATTCAAAATATTCTCGTATAATTGTTAGTAGCATTTAATAGGCATAGAAGTACATTGATTAATCCTTCACCAGGTATCACATACCTATTCTCTTCCAGCTCTTGATAAATTTCGCACAGTGATGACTTCCAAATGAAAAAACCTAAAAATAAAACCCTGAGAATAATCATTATAACGGTAGCCAAAAACATGAGCACCAAAACATAAGCTATTACAACTCAATTAAATAATATGACAGTTAATAATGGTCAAGAGGCATTCCAGATTACATACTAAGTAGGGAAAAACTTATAAATCTGGGTTTGAAATATACTACAGTAATAACACGTGTAATATGGCACATGATCATACCTGTATCAACACTGCTTTTGATCCTCCAACGAAGGACGTAAATTCTTCAAATGTCAGGACATTAAAATCTTGATTCATCAAGTCTGGTACAAAGCTAACTCATGCATTACATTTCAATAAAGAAACATATAAACAAGCATGATGCCTAAATAAATAGAGAAGATAAAGGCTCCTACCACGTGGAGTTGCATCTAGTAATGGGAGATCGATTTTTGAGTAGTCTTTCCCCGCATATCTTCTGATGGCCTCATTCATAACTGGCTAAAGCACATAATAAATGTCGTTGAATACACTTCTAAAAGATATTGATGAATATGATGCTTATATTAAACAGCAAGTCTAAACATTCATACATGTAGAACAACTAAAAAAGCAAAAAAAAAACTCACCAGCTGCTCATCAATAGCAAAAAGGTCATAATCCCTCTTCCATAATGGATTAGTCAATAGCTCAAATGCATAGCGAATCTGTAAAACCAGATAAACAGTCCAATGAAAACAATTGAGCAGTCTTGCAACTTACACATATTATAAACAGCATTTCATCTAAAGTATTCTCAGGAATCAGGATATAATGCAAACTTGCAGCTAAGCGGTGCAGGTTAAGAAAATAGAGACTTGAGATAATGAAATAATTTTTTGACTTGCTGAAGATTTTTAAAGGTTAAAAACATAGAAACTTTCAGAGAAATTTGAGAAAGGTACATAACACCACACCTAGAAAATTTGGTCCGAATAACTAGACGATTGCCAAAATGGCTTAAACATATGCTTGCACTTTGGTATTGAACTGATAATTTTCATAGATAACATTCTGACAAATCGAAGAACTTTTTGAGGTCATAAATATACCGACCTGAGGGCAGATTTGAGCCAAGTTTTTGCTACACAAACACAAGATTTGGTTCAAATAACTAATCAATAGCTAAAAATGTTCCAAAAGCTACCAAAAATGGTTCTCAACCTATCTTTACTTATAACAGTGAAGCTGCCAGCAGATAGGTACGTTAGGCGTGGAAGATGAATTAAAGAAAGACATACATTAACAAATTAGGAAAAAAGTCAATCCCGAAATGCTAGCATGCATGTACAATTAGATGGCTAAATCTTCAATCATGCTGGAAAGATCAAACCAAGAGCCAAAAAAAACAATATACAATATATTTTGAAGTGCAGCTTTGTTGTTAAAGAAGCCTGTATTCAAACTGATTCAGTCATAATTATACTTACTGAATGGTGTCCTACCAATTTTCTGTGCTTTCAGCAGCAGAGCAGCTTGAATAGTTTGTGGTCCTTTTCCTTATTTATCAACTTAGTAGTCAACTATCATTGTTTCTTTACAAAATATTTGTGGCCTACTTTAGTAGTCCTAAGGTAGATAATTTTTTTAGCATGTTAACATCATATTTTTTTCAGCTTAATTATTTTTCTTTAGAGCCCTTCTACATGGATATAAACCTGACCTATGTACTCCACTGCAGCTGCCGAAAGAACCTCTTTATAATTAACCTTGACATACCTACTCCCAATATTTCAATTAAAATAAATATTTATCAACCTATCCTTCTATTATCCAGATTTACCAAGCATATATTTTAGACTTGTCAATCCAGCTATATTCAAACAAGAATTTGAACCTTCTTCAGCGCATTAAACATATGCAAACTGAAAAGAAAGTTTTCTTCCTTGCTTCAATTCTACAATTGCTAGCCAATAGTGCCGGTGTGTTTAAGGACAGAAGCTAGTATAAGCAGGCATAAACATAGGCATCACTGTCAAGTCTCCTTAAAACTCACAAGCTCATGAAACCAAGGATAGCATATCTGATGAGGACATCAGATCATGGAAAGTATATCAGAGACATGGACAACGATTGACGGCCACGATCACACTGATCTATTTTTGATCGATGGCCATGATCACACCGATCTATTTTGATTATTATTGTATTAGTTTTATGTTTTATGAGTTTTGTTATTTTCTTCTGTTTATACCCTTGCTTAACGGGTTTAGTCATATGTGTGCCCTAGGGGCAAGTATGTCTTTTGTTTTCATTCATTATGTATGGCTATATATAAGCCACTTGTATCTTTTTGGAGGTTAATGAAGAATTACTAATGAAATTTCTGCATGGTGTTCTTGAGAGAGCTTGAGAGAAAGTTAGAGAGGAGCCTATAGAGGCCAAGCGCAATACCCAACAGCCAACATGGTGAGCTCTTGGTTTTCTTAATTTTCCCCCTTCATTCCTTCCTCCTTTCCTTCCCTCCACTGGCAAAGCCCTTCCCACGCCACCACCTAGCAGCCAGCCCGAGCCACTCGCCGCCCCCTCTCTTCCCTTGGATCACCCCCACCACTTCACCGCCGGCCCTCCACCAAATTCCAACCCGCCGACTTCCCCATCTCCTTCCCCTTGAATCCCACATTAACTTCCCCATTAATACCTTCCATATTTGGCCCCTTGTGTTTTAGGAAAGGATTTGAATTCAAATTCAAAATGATATGAATTTCAAATGCCTTCTAATTAAGCTTATGCCCTTGAAGGAAATAATCATCAATCACCCTAAACCTGAGATTAATTATTAGATTTAGTTATTAATTACAATTCATTGCTTGGTCCACATTCATTGAATGTGGACACAATTCCGCCCCCCCTTCTCTCGCTCTCTCTAGGCCGGCCCACCCCTCCCTCTTTCTCATTAATCTTTGCCATTAATTGTCCATAATCACTCCCTAAATTTAGGTCAATTCAAATTTGAATTGGGATTGATTTAATCTATTCACTCCTAATTAAAAGTTATTGATTAGGTAAGCCATCAACCCCCCTCCTCTCCTCTTCTCTACCTGCCGCCCACATCAATCCCTAGCAACCAAACTTGCTCTACGGCTGTCCAGAAAATTCTCAAGGGCTGTTACAGAATTTTCCTGCATTACCACCTGCTGTCCAACTGATTGGAAAATCCCAGGTTGCTGTCCTCTGTCCAGAAGTGCTCAATCAACAACGAAGCTGTCCAAGGAGAGCTCCTAGCTGCTGTCCAGCTGAGTGGAGAATCACTGGTTGCTGTCATCAGTCCAGGAACATCAAAATCAGCAAGGAAGTTGTCCAAGAAGGCCTCCCAACTGCTGTCCAGTTAAGATCGGAGCTTCATTTCACCTTTTGTCCTCGGGTAAACTCTTCCTCCAACCCTTTTACCCTCCTAGTCGCTATCAATCGTGTTTATAATTGATTCATAAGGATTCCTATTAACTTCTCCGTTAAAGCTTAGTGAAGTTAGAGAGTTGAATGAGTGGATATCTTCATGAAAACTTATCTCATTATTAATTGAGGGATTTTTGTTGAAGCTCTTCTTCGTATGCTATGTTTGATCGAATGGTTATTTACAATGTTCCCAACTTTCATATGTGCAACTGGGCCTAAGCTAAACTCACCCCACTTCTGTTTTATTTCATTGTTAAGTCGCTTTAAGTTTATCTTTAATATTATTTTCTTCAAATAAGCGTGCAAATTCTTAATAAACATCATTGCATCATTTAGTCCTGCATCAATATCAGTTGAAATTTACGTTCTATGATGGGAGATTTTTTATTCATCTTAAGAATTTGCTTATTAGCATTATAACTGCATAAGAAAATTAGCCCAATGGTCTTCTATTCACTTTATGCACATATTCATGCAAAGAAGTGGTTATATACATATGTGAGCTCCTGTGAAAAATCTCCCAAGTGCTTATGTGAGGAAAGGAAACATACAGAGGTATTTCCAAGGGAATGTTGATGTTTGTATGCCAAAATTGATATAACAAGGGTTTTAATTATGTGGTTCTAGTGGGTGCAATCCCCCACAGATTATTATCTCACCCATTTAAGATAGCATTATTGATTAAGAAGAAGATCGGCTCTACATTGAAGGAATCAGCTTTGTGGCATTGGTATTGCATATATAGCCCATTTCACTAGGGCTTCATGATGCAGAACTAAATATGAAATGCAGATAATTCATATGAATTTTGCACAACTCTTGATTAGAATAATCAAAGAACAAGACTAGTAACATTTCAAAACAACGAATCAAAACAAATAAGGGGTCACACCCGCTTAGGCTAAGTTACATATCCAGAGAATGGGAAAAACTTTCAAAACAATTAGTAAATCACTTAATGCCGTAGTAGTAGTTTCAAAACAATCCCTAATCTAACAAGGAAAATTAGTAAGCATAAAGGCACGCTAAAAAACCCTACGTTTACTAAACTTAGCAGTAGCAGAGAGAGTCATCATTCGTGACTACAATCTAGCACAAGATAGAGTTAGGCTAGAGAAATATAATGAAAAGGGGAAAAGAGAACCTCTCATCAAGGAGTGGTGGAGATCCTCGTCCCAAGTCAAGCCGTACTCAGTTGTTGGATCTGCCATTCATGGGTGGCTTTGTTAATTTGAGTTGGGGAAGAAGCACTAAGCACCAAGGAAAGTCTTCTCCGATGAGGGGGAAGATAGCTCGGGCTACAGGAAGAAGAATGGACAGCAGTTTTCCTCTTTGAGATCAGCAATCTTTAGAAGTCTTCTCTGATAGGAAATAACGATTCCTTTTCATTCTTATCGTTATCAGAGTGTTATTTTGTGAGAGATTTGAAGAACAAGAGAAACAGACGAAAAGAATTAAGGGAAGAATGTTTGTTGAATTTCTTTCTTCATTTTCTTATAAATTTCTTCATTTACTTCGTTTAAAGTGAGCGATATGTTCCTTGAAGGATAAAGAAGCGATTAAAGCGAAGAAAAAGGAATTTGCGAGATAAAATATTTTTGGGAGTTCGAGAAGTTTCCATTCAAAAATTGTAAGTTAATTTCTTCTTATAAGGTTTTTAATAATATTTTGTTATTAAATCAAAATATTATTTTGATATGAATCAAAATATTATTTTGATATGAAGTCATTGTAGGAATTTAGGGTTTTTGGAAGGGAAAGATCAAGTTGTAAGTATTGATTTCGCGAGGATTCAACAGGAAGAGAAATTGATTCAAGAGTAGATCAAGCATCGAAAACCTGAAACGTTCAAAGTGGGTAAATTATATTATTTAATGTTTTATTCATGATTTCAATTTTCTAAGTAATTGATTAAATTTTGTATTATAAAATATTGAAGACATAAATTCTTATGATTTTATAGTTTTAAGAACGAATTCATCTGTTATGAAGATTTAAAAGTTCATGGAAATGAAAAGTAATATTTATAGAGATACATGTAAAATATGTTGTATGCAATGGTAACAATAAGGATGAAAATGAGAAAAGAAAAGAAAAGAGAATAAAGGAAAAGATATTGAAAACGACAGGAGTTCACCCCCATATGGTACTGGCTGGGGACGCCGTACTCGTGCACGAAAAAGAAAAAGGAAAATGCTATGGAAAATGGAAAAGGAAATCAAATGGAAAAGGTTGTACTTTTGGTACTTTGAGACGGTGCTCCTATGCAAAT